GAGTTCCTCTGTATTTTTGGCCCACCCTGTCGCCCGCATGCTGAGCGGGCAATTGGCGGCTCGGCTCCGCTTCGTCGCGGCCCGCATCGAGCTCGTCTCGGTCGCCGCCGCCTGGAGCTGATGCCGATGCTTTTCGGTGGCTGGAGACTTCGGCGGCGTCTGGGGCATCATATTGCCCGCCGTCGCCACCACAGCCTCGCCCTCACTTGCTCTTGCTCACGAGCGCGTCCATGCACGGCCGCTGCTCTCCGCGAGGCCGACGCCCCCTCTGGCACTGCTGCGCCCCCCCGGTTTACCCCTGCGCTTCGGCCGCCTCGCACTGTCCTGCCTCGAGCTCTGCAGAGGCGACGGCAACGCCTAATGCAGTTTGGGCTGATCTGCTACCCCCATCTCTTGACCTTCCTGCGCATGGTGCCTGGATAAAGGGCTTCCCGTGCCTCAACCTCCTGCTGGACTTCCTCTTCCTTCAGCTGCTGCCGCTGTGCTGCAAACCCACGTGCGTGGGCATCGCACTACTGGACATGGAGGAGAAGGGCGCGTGTTGGGCCCCGCAGCTGTTGGCGCTGTATTGCGGGAGCTGGCTGGCATTTCACGGCCTTTTCGATCCAGCTGGCGCTCGCGGCGGTCTCGAGATGCGCTCGGTTCCGCCGCCGCTCCCTGCTGCTGCTGCTGTTGGTGAACTTCCTTCCCAAGATGTGAATGAAACAGTCGCTGCTGCCGATGGTGATCTGCCTGCTCAAGATGAGGATGACGCAGCGGTGGGTGCTCAGCCGCGCCCTGACCAGCTGGACGCCCAGCAGCTGGCTTTCGCCCGCCTCGCCCTCAACCTCTTCTACCAGTCGCGATATGTGGACCAACGCGGCATGGTCATGCTGCTCCTGCAGCGCCCTGCTTGCCTCCTGGAGCAGGAGTCCGAGGAACGCCACCCCATCCTGGCCGACGCACCACTGGATCCCGCCGACATGGAGTTGAGAGAGGGCGACCCGACCTAAGTTGACCTGCTGGCCTCTCACGCCGACCCCTTCGTCAACACCAGCCATGGTGAGGACGCGAACCTAAACTTTCTGAATTTGGCGCAGTTGGAGGATGTCGTCTTCCCCCACTTCTTCCCGGTTGGCCACCCGTTCACTGAAGCGAGCAAAATGCGAGCACGTGTGCGCCCACAGGCGACGCCACGATGCCCATGGCGAATTTCTCCTTCGCCGTCTTGCGCACCGACCTGGTCGAACACTACGCCGAGGCTTTGAGAGGCCCCGCGAGTGAGTGTGTTGCGCGCGGCGGAAGGCGGAACGGACCGCCCACAGGGAGGGACGTTGGCTCCTTTTTTTGCGTTGGACAAGACTTGGTTTGCTTGAGCCGCTTCCTCCTCCCCCTCTCTCCTGTTCATCCCCCTTCTCTTCCTCCGCTCAGCTGTTCGGGCAGTGCCCGCGTCGTCGTCTTCGTCGTCGTCATCGTCGTCGCCGTCACCGTCGCCGTCGCCATCGCCGTCGCCGTCGCTACGCCGCCGCCGTCGTCGCCGCCGCCGTCGTCATCCTCGTCCTCGTCCTCGTCCTCGTTGTCGTCGTTGTCGTCGTTGTCGTCGTCCTCGTGGTCGTCGTCGGCGTTTTGAGAGATCGAGGTGGAGGTTTTTCACAGGCTCTGGCCTTCCGAAGTCCTGGCTGGGCTTCGGGGCCGTCAAAAGACGGTTCACGAGGAAGCACGAGCCCTGGGGAAGGGCTCGAGAGGTCGGGGGTCCGTCCCCCACGCCTCGGGGGGTCACTCGCCAGGGGGTCGTCGGCTCCTCTGGAGCCTGGCAGCCGGGGATCCGGGAGGAGGGGGCTTCCTCAAGGATGCCCCTGGGACGTCCATGGGCGTCTTTCGGAGTCAAGGGTGGGCCTGGGGGGGGCCCAGTCGGTGACCCCGTTCGAGACTTTCGACGGCACGCCCTCGCAGCGCTCGAGCACTCCCCGCCCGGTCCCGCCCCGCCCCCGGAGGCGGCAGGAGCAGGGCGGCCAGCCGCCGGGGCCCTGGCCGCTGAGGCCCTGGCCGCCGCATGCGCGACGGGCGGCGCCGGCCCCCTCGCCAAGAGCTTGCCAGCGGGCCCGGCCGAGGTGCACCACCTGTGATCCGAGGGGGGCAGGAGCGGTGCCTCCAGCCTGCGCGGAGACGTCCATTCGGTTCATGGACGGCGCCCGGTCGGCGGTGGCACCAGGGGCAGGAAAATGTCGAGGGTCGAGGAGGGTATACGCGAGTGTATGATGGATGTGTACGGATACATACAGGCAGGTCACACTTCACAGGGCGGGGAGGGGTTCACTCAAATCTGTACGTAGCACGCCGTCGGTCGCATCAAAGGTTTCCCGGTCGCGGCGCTTGCTAGCCTACTATGTTCGACTGCGTTAGCGCGTTAGCTCGAACGCACTTCGGTTTTTGTTGCCGCAGTAGCGAATTTTCGTGGTCTTCTGGTTCCGTCAAGCGCACGGACCTGCACTGTGCTATTCGCTACATTTGCCGGCCCATGCAGTTGAATGATTCGTGCAATACGTCGTGCAAATTGACTGTGGTTTTGCACAGCTGGGTGGATCCCATAAGAGGCGCACGGACTATTCAAGGGTCATGTCACTGCTTCTCCTTGTCGGGTACGAGGATCGTATACACGAGCACATACTGTAAATGCACGGATACATATAGGTAGATAACACTTCGCAGGGCGGGGAGGGGTTCACTCAAATCCGTACGCAGTACGCCCTCGGTCGCATGAAAGGTTTCCCAGCCGCGGGGCTTGCTAGCTCATTATGTTCGATTGTGTTAGCGCGTTAGCTCGAACACACTTCGGCACGATGGCCGCTTTTGTTGCCGCAGTGTCGAACCATCTTGGTGTTATGGTTCCTTCAAGCGCACGGACCTGCACTGTGCTAATCGCTACATTTGCCGGCCCATGCAGTTAAATGATTCCTGCAATACGTCGTACAAATTGGCTGTGGCCTTGCACGGTCGGGTTAATCCCACCAAAGGCCCACCGACGATTCGAAGAGTCATGTCACTGCTTTCCCTTGTCGAATTTCAAACTGATCACAGCCGCTGCAATCGCCTTGTATCACGCGTTGCCTTGCAGACGATGTGCTAGCTATATGCACACCTCCTCCGCTTTCCCCTCCCCCTCCTTATGACTCAGAGGCCTCTGTTCCCTCGCTCCGCGTTCGTGCCGCTCCCCCCCCTCGCTGTTCCCCGGCCTCTGCGGCAGAAGTGTCGGGACGGTAGTTCTTCGGCATCACCTGTCTTCTGTTCGCGGCGCTGTTCCCTGTTACGACCTCCTCGCCCCCCCCTTGGCATCGCTCGGACGTGTGCATTTTTCCTTCGGCGAGGACCATCGAGGAGCATCCTTGATCATTTGGCGAAAAAACCACGCACGAAACCGAAACAAACACAGGGAATGGACGTCCGAGCGATGCCCAGCCCCAGCTTTGAAGAGATCCGTTGGTGCGCTTCTCTCCTCCCTGCGCTGGGCAAGACTGGCGCCTCTGCGCCGGCCTGGGTGGAGGGGGCTCCGTCGCCGCTCTCGCGTACCTCTTGCGCGCGGGCGGAGGGCAAACGCCCCCCCGCCCCCGCGCCCGTGCTGGCGGACGGACCGACCCACGAGCCCCCCCTCCTCCTCCCTCCTCCTCCTCCTCCTCCTCTCTCCTCCTCCCTCCTCCTCCTCCCTCCTCCTCCTCCTCCTCCTCCTCCTCCTCCTCCTCCTCCTCCCTCCTCCTCCTCCTCCTCCTCCCCTCCTCCTCCTCCTCCTCCTCCTCCTCCTCCTCCTCCTCCTCCTCCTCCTCCCTCCTCCCTCCTCCTCGCCCCCCTGGAGTTCACTCCTGCCACACTCGCCGCCCCCGCGACCGTGTCGACGGAGCGGCCTGTTCTCCCGAGGGCGGGTGGGCGCGCGCGCGGTCCCGAACACACATCATCGCGCTGCTCTCTTCGGGCGGACGAAAGGCCCACTCCTCGATACATAGCCGCCTCCGGCGCCGGGAGGCGCCGGGAAAATCAGTTACGTGAGCTGATTCTCAAACCCCCCCTTTGCTATCCCCCCCTTTCGCCCGACCCGATCTCTGAGATCAGGGCGTCGCATCCTTTTGTTTGCCAGGCGTCGTCGCCTCGTTCAGGGCCCCGTGGCCTTCCACTGACTGATCGGTCCGGCCAGAGAATGGCCTCGGACCTCCTGTGGCGGCTGGCCGTTCCAGATGCCGCGCGCAAGCGCGAGCTGTACCGCTGCCGTGCTGGTGGAGGCGTCGACTTCCGCCACGCCTTGCCCCTCTGCCGCCCGCCGCCCTTCTTCGCTCGCCCCCCGTGCGCGTCCATTCTGGCGCATCGGCTGCTGTGCGGTTCCGGGCACTTTGCGACCCCTGGGCCCGCGGCACTGCATTGTGCATCAGGTTGAACGCTCCCCCCCGCCAGATTAGGGGGCCACATGCGAGCCCCACCCCTACCCCCCACGATTTCTGCGGGTGAGGGTGGGGTTCACTTCGCTCGGTGAACCCCACCCTCCCCCTCAGAAACCGTGGCGGGTAGGGGGTAGGGGTAGGATTCGCATGGCATGTGGCCCCCTTACAGATCCCTTTCATGTTCGCAGCCTGTCGCACTGCAGCCTTTGCGCTTTTGTTCCTCGGCCGATCACTGGACCGAGTGCAAGCAGAGCAGGTTGCACCCTGTCTCCGCTCTCGCTCATCACTTGGTCGCGCTCCCCGTCGCTCCGCCCACCTTAGCGCAGCCGCGTGCGGCTCGATCCCCACCTCCGCGCGGGTGCATCAAGGCAGGGCTCGCTCCGATTCCTCCGATTCGATTCGACTTCGATGGCCTCCGATTCCGATTCGATTCGACCTCGGATTCCGATTTGGATTCAGATTCTTTACTGGAGGCATACTAGCCTGTCGATTTCCACCAATTCGACTTCCCCCGACTCAGCTGCTGATTTCGGCCGATCCGATCCATCACGATCGCCGATCCGACGTGTCGATTCGATCCTGGGCCCTCCTGCCGAGGCGCATATCGAAGACGGACGCGAAGGTGGACGGGCCCCTCGCGACGATGCTGAACGCCGTGGCCGAGGAGCACATCGACCTGAAGGCGATGAGCTCCTCCTCCTCCTCCTCCTCCTCCTCCTTCTCCTCCTCCCTCCTCCTCCTCCTCCCCTCCTCCTCCTCCTCCCTCCTCCTCCTCCTCCTCCTCCTCCTCCTCCTCCTCCTCCTCCTCCTCCTCCTCCTCCTCCTCCTCCTCCTCCTCTCTCCCCTCCTCCCTCCTCCTCCTCCTCCTCCTCCTCCCTCCTCCTCCTCCCTCCTCCCTCCTGCTCCTCCTCCTCCCTCCTCCTCCTCCTCCTCCTCACCTCCTCCTACTCCTCTCCTTCTCCCCTCCTCCCTCCTCCTCCCTCCTCCTCCTCCTTCCTCCTCCTTCTCCTCCTCCTCCTCCTCGTACTCCTCCTCCTCCTCCTCCTCCTCCCCCCTCCTCCTCCTCCTCCTCCTCCTCCTCCTCCTCCTCCTCCTCCTCCTCTTCTCCTTCTCCTCCGACTCCTCCTCCGCCTCCCTCCTCCTCCTCCTCCTCCCTCCTCCTCCTCTCCTCCTCCTCCTCCTCCTCCTCCTCCTTCCTCCTGTCTCCTCCTCCTCCTAATCCTCTTCCTCCTCCTCCTTCTCCTCCTTCCTCCTCCCTCCTCCCTCCTCCCTCCTCCTCCTCCTCCTCCTCCTCCTCCTCCTCCCTCCTCCTCCTCCTCCTCCTCCTCCTCATCATCATCATCATCATCCGCCTCCTCCTCCCGTCGGTTTCGGTCGGTCGTCGAAAGACAGGTCCAGATTGGCACGACGGTCAGCCATGTTTCACACACCTTGATGTTATGGGAAGACTTTAACTTGTTTTTCTGCCGAGCATGCGGATGCACGGCTACTGTTGACGGCCGATGGCTTTCTTTTCCTTGCCAACCCCCCCACCACCAGGAAAGGGGTCGAGAACCTCTCGGGGCTAGAGAAGGGGCTTTACCCATCTAGGCGGGTCCTGCTGCAGTCACTGCTGCAGCCAATCAGAGATTTGTGGAGAGGGCGGGGGAGGAGGCTGCTGAGAGAGCGGCAGAAAGCGAGTGTGCCGCCTCTGTGCCGCCCCCGCCGCCGCCCCCGTCTCGGAGCCCGACGCGCAGGCGCCGCCCCGCCTCCCGCCTCGTGGCGGACTCGGGCTCGTCTGACTGAAGGGGGACGGCCACGTTGTGGCTTCATCTGATGCCCTGATGTCCTCCTCCTCCTCCTCCTCCTCCTCCTCCCTCCTCCTCCCTCCTCCTCCCTCCTCCTCGTCGTGCGGCCCAGGAGGCCTTTTGGCGGCCTGCAGGGAGGCCCCGCGGAGGCCTCCGCGCGGGCGTTCGAGGGGGTCCCAACCGTCGATCCACGGGCCCTCCTCGATCGTCCTCGATCGCCATCGAGCCACGGCCCTCCTCCTCCGAGAGGGGGAGGGGGGGGGGGGGGGGGGGCGCTCCCGAGCGTTATCTTCTCTCTCCCTATCTCTCTCTCTCTCTCCCTCTCTCTCTCTCTCTCTCTCTCTCTCTCCATCTCTCTCTCTATCTCTCTTTCTTTTTTTCCCAGCCATCCTGTGGTGTTGGGTCCTCGTTTTGAAGAGACGGTGGCCCGCGTCTCCTCTCCTCCTCTCCTCCTCCGCCTCCTCTCCCCCCTACCATCCTCATCGTCATCATCATCATCATCATCATCATCAGCGAAGGCCCCAGTGGCATCAGCGAAGGCCCCTGTGGCTGCGCTCCCATGCGCCCACCGCACCCATTTCGGCACACCCATCACACGCTTCGTGGTCCCATGGGGAGCTCCAGCGAAGGCCCCAGTGGCTGCGCTCCCATGCGCCCACCGCACCCATTTCGGCACACCCCTCACACGTTTCGTGGCCCCATAGGGAGCTCCATCGAAGGCCCCAGTGGCTGCGCTCCCATGCGCCCACCGCACCCATTTCGGCACACCCATCACACGTTTCGTGGCCCCATAGGGAGCTCCACCCCAGTGGCTGCTGCGCCCACCCCTTTCGGCACACGTTTCGTGGCCCCATAGGGAGCGAGGCCCCAGTGGCTGCGCTCCCATGCGCCCACCGCACCCATTTCGGCACACCCCTCACACGTTTCGTGGCCCCATAGGGAGCTCCAGCGAAGGCCCCAGTGGCTGCGCTCCCATGCGCCCACCGCGCAGATTTCGGCACACCCCTCACACGTTTCGTGGCCCCATAGGGAGCTCCACGAAGGCCCCAGTGGCTGCGCCCCCATGCGCCCACCGCACCCATTTCGGCACACCCCTCACACGTTTCGTGGCCCCATAGGGAGCTCCAGCGAAGGCCCCAGTGGCTGCGCTCCCATGCGCCCACCGCACCCATTTCGGCACACCCATCACACGCTTCGTGGTCCCATGGGGAGCTCCAGCGAAGGCCCCAGTGGCTGCGCTCCCATGCGCCCACCGCACCCATTTCGGCACACCCCTCACACGCTCCGTGGCCCCATAGGGAGGTCCATCGAAGGCCCCAGTGGCTGCGCTCCCATGCGCCCGCCGCACCCATGTTTGCGCACCCCTCACACGTTCCGTGGCCCCATAGGGAGCTCCAGCGAAGGCCCCAGTGGCTGCGCTCCCATGCGCCCACCGCGCCCATTTCGGCACACCCCTCACACGCTTCGTGGCCCCATAGGGAGCTCCAGCGAAGGCCCCAGTGGCTGCGCTCCCATGCGCCCACCGCGCCCGGGAGCTCCAGCGAAGGCCCCAGTGGCTGCGACCCCATGCGCCCACCGCACCCATTTCGGCACACCCCTCACACGTTTCGTGGCCCCATAGGGAGCTCCAGCGAAGGCCCCAGCGGCTGCGCCCCCATGCGCCCACCGCACAGATTTCGGCACACCCCTCACACGCTTCGTGGCCCCATAGGGAGCGCCATCGAAGAAGATACGCACAATTGCGGCACTCGCAACTGCATCTGGTTGGGTCGTTCGCCAGGATAATTTTATTCTCTCTCTCTCTCTCTCTCTTTCCCTCTCTCTCTCTCTCTGTCTTTCTGGTCGTGCCTCGTCGCGACCCCCGCCCGCGCGTCGCGACAGGCGCCCCGCGGGGTGGGGGCAGGATGGGGGAAGAGGGAGGTGGGAGGGGGGAGGAAGGAGGAGGAGGTGGTGGGAGGAGGAGCGAGGGTAGGGAGGATCGGCGGGGGGATCCGGAGGAGGGGGAGAAAGGGGAGCAGGATGGGCGAGGGGGAGCGAGGAGAAGGAGACGGAGGAGAGGGAGAAGAAGCCAGGGGAAGGAGGGAGAAGGGTGAAAAGGAGCAGGGGAGGAGGAGGAGGAGGAGGAGGAGGAGGAGGAGAAGGAGGAGGAGGAAGAGGAGGAGGGGGAGGAGGAGGAGGAGGAGGAGGAGGAGGGAGGACGGAGAGGGTCAGACGCAGCAGCAGGAAGGATGCTGATGGGTGGGAATGGGGGGAGAAAGGATGAGGATGGAGGAGGAGAAGTGGGATGGAGGTGAGGCAGGAGGAGGAGAAGGAGGGAGGACGAGGGATGAGGAGGGAGGTAGAGAGGACGAAACAGGAGAGGAAGGATGACGGGGAGGAGGACCCCCCGCACCCAAGATCAAGCAGAAGCGCCCCTCAAACGGTGAGAGTTATCCTCATGCCGCCCCTTCCCACTGCACCGTCGATCCTCGTCCTCGCTCCTCGGTCAGGGACGATACGAGCTTGCCGATCGCCAGGCAAGGCCCGAGGAGGGAGGAAGTGGGGGAGGAGGACGAGGGGGGAGGGGGACGAGGAGAAGCTCGCCGCGTGCCTGCGCTCGCCAGGACAGAGCGGCGGCAACGGAGCAAACACGGGGGGAGGCAAACGAGGAGGAGGCTGCCCAAAAGACGAGGAGGAGGCCCAGAGGGGGGGGGGAGGAGAGGAGAGGAGACAGCCCATATAATGCCCAGAAGACAGGGAGAAGAATGCCCAAAGAAGGAGGAGGAGGAGGAGGAGGAGGAGGAGGAGGAGGAGGAGGAGGAGGAGGAGGAGGAGGGGGGGGGAGGACACCCCGAGGATCCTCCAGATATCCGATGCCTTGACAGATTCCAGCATGGTTCCCCAAAGGTGCAAACCTCCTCCCTTGGGCCAAGTTTTCACCCCCAGACGTTTTTCACGAGCCCGGCGCATTGTCAGGGGCCAAGGAGGCCGAAATCGGCAAGACAATCTCGCCTTGATTGTATCGGTGCGTTACAGGGCAGGGAGTCAGGAGGCCGAGCCCGTGGCCCAAACAGATCGTCTTATTTTTTGGCGGGGGGTGTATCACATCTGGGGGGGAATTCGCCACCGCCGAGACGCGGTTTCTTCCTGCCGAACATGGGCAGGACGTCGAAGACAGTAGTAGATACGAACACGTGTCGTAAAAGGGCGGGGGTTGTTCGTGTGCTTTGCAGCAGCCGAACAAAAAAACACCCCCAAAAGAGGTGGCTCCGCGTGGCCCCGCCCCCGCTCTTCAACAGTGGATGACCCTGAATATACAAGAATGGGGTGTGCTCGCAGACCCCCCCCCTTCCCCCCTCAAATGGGGGGTGAGATTTTCGCCCCCCCTCCCCCCTTAAGAGGGGGTGGTGGGGCCGAACCCCCCTCCCCCCCTTGGCGCTGGAGGGGGAGGGGGGTCACCCCCCCCCTCCCCCCCTTTTGCGCCGAACAGGAGGCCGAGGATTGGGCCTCTCCCGCAAGGGGGGGGGGCAGCCTGGCCTCGGGATAGTGAGTAGTGAGTAGTGAGTAGAAAATAGTGAGTAGTGAGTAGTGAGTAATGAGTAGATAGTAGCGAGTAGTGAGTAGTGAGTAGTGAGGTGAGCAGCGAGTAGGGAGTAGGGCGCAGTGAGTTGTGAGTAGTGAGTAGTAAGTAATGGGTAGTGGGGAGCGGGGAGTGGGTAGTGAATTGTGAGTAGCGAGTAGGGAATAGCGCGTAGTGAATAGTGATTACCGAGTAGGGCATTGTGAGTAGTTAGTAATGAGGAGGGAGTCTTCAGTAGTGAGTAGAGAGTATGGAGTAGTGAGTAGCGAGTAGGGAGTAGCGGGTAGTTAGTAGTGAGTAGTGAGTACTGAGTAGTGAGTAGTGGGTAGTGGGAAGTTGGTAGTGAGTAGTGAGTAGCGAGTAGGGAGTAGCGCGTAGTGAATAGTGATTACCGAGTAGATGCGGGAGTAGTCAGCACTGAGTAGGGAGTATGGAGTAGCGAGTAGCGAGTAAGGAAGCGTATAGTGAGTAGTGAGTAGTGCATAGTGAGTAGTCAGTGGGGCGTAGTGAATAGTGAGAAGTGAGAAATGAGTAGTGGGTAGTGCATAGGGAGTAGCGAGTACAGAACAGTGAGTAGTTAGTAGTGAGTCGTGGGTAGTGAGTCGTGGGTACTGAGTAGTGAGTAGTTAGAAGTGACGTGCGACTGGTGGCTAGTGAATATAGTGAGTAGGGAATAGTGAGTATTGAGTAGTGAGTAGTGCGTAGTGTGTGGTGCATGTTGCGTATCGGGTAGCGAGTAGCGATTATGGAGTAGCGAGTAGTGAGTAGTGAGCAGTGAGTAGTGTGTAGAGAGTAGGGAGTAGCGACTAGCGAGTAGTGAGTTCTGGGCAGGGAGTAGTGAGTAGTGAAGTGTGAGTACCCAGTAGATGCAGTGAGTAGTGAAGTGGGTAGTGAGTAGTGAGCAGTGCAATGTGAGTAGTGAGTAGTGAGTAGTGAATAGTGAGTAGGGAGTAGCGACTAGCGAGTAGATGCAGCGGGTAGTGAGTAGTGAGTTCTGGGCAGTGAGTAGTGAGTAGTGAAGTGTGAGTACCCAGTAGTGAGTAGCGGATCGTGGCTAGTGGGTAGTGATTATTTATTACTGCGTAGTGAATAGTGGGTAGTGAGCGTTTAGTGAGTACCGAGGATTGCGTACTGGGTAGTAAATAGTGATTATTGAGTAGTGAGTTGGGAGTAGTAGGTAGTGAGTAGTGAGTAGAGGGTAGTGGGTATTGAGTAGTGGGTAGTGAGTAGTGAGTCGTGAGTAGTGAACAGTGAGTACTGAGTAATGAGTAGCGAGATAGTGAGTTGCGGGTAGTGAGTAGTGAATAATGAGTAGTGAGTACTGTTTGGGTCTAGGGTTCGGGTCTGGGGTTTGGGTTACGGGTGGTCAGGGTGGTAGCGTTACGGGTGGTAGGGGTCGGGTTCGGGAGCCAGGGGGCGCCGTGGCGAAAGGGGGGGGGGGGGGGCCGAATTTGGCGGCCAAACGGGGGAGGGGGGGGGTTTCCCCGACGACGGACCGGGAAAGGGAGGGAGGGGGATGGGGGGGTTCCGGACGACGGACCGGAAAGGGGGGGGGGAGGGGGATTCCCGACGACGGACCTGGAAAGGGGGGGAGGGAGGGGGGGGGTCCCCGACGACGGATCGGGGTATGGGGGGGGGGGGCTTGGGGTTATCCAGCGGCGCGCCCTCAAACAGAGGCCCGGCCCAGGCTGAGAGATGGTGTTTCTGCGCGGGAAATCATGGATCCAGTCGGTTCTCCTTACTTGTGTGCAAGAAGTACGTGGGCCCAACCATTCGGCCCCCCGCGCCGCCAACGACGTAAAATACCAGCGGCGCGGCGCCCCAGCGTGGGCCACACGGGCGCCTCGCGTGGGCGGCTGCCTCTCAAAAGGCATGGGCCTCACATCCTCGCATTTCGAGGATGGCGCGGTACATTTCGAACCCTTTTCGCTATACGTAATGGAGGATGACGATTAATAAATGACCGGGGATCGTGTTCACGCGGCGGCGCCCGGGATGACGATTAGAAAGAACCGGCCGCGGGCTGGAAAGCTTTTTTTTTTTTTTTTTTTTTTTTATCGTTCTCCTCCAGTCAGACAAGTGTGCAGAAGTAGCAGAAAACTGTTATTTGAATCGTTCTCTCACATTTTTATAGTAATCGTCATCCCGCACTGCACGAGCTGAAAGGCCTCCGCGAGACCCTCCGTGGCCCACGCGGGGCCCGCGCGGGGCCCACGCCGGGCCCTCTCGTGCCTCACGGGCGTGCGCGAGAGACGACGGCGGAGACGACGAGTGATGGCCAGCCCCCAGTCGAGAGCGCCACTTCGCTCAGGAGGGAAAAAACACACAGACACAATTCATCTTCGATTCCCCAGAAAGTATGGGAAAAGATGGGAAGTGGGGGGAAGACAAAAACCCAGAAAATATGGGAACATATGGGGAATCTGGTTATTTGTGTATATTTACTTGTGTGTCCCAGTTCCCCTTCATTCACGCCCCCTCGCCCCACTCCCTCCCCACAGTGCCTTGTCTCTTCCCCCTCCCACCTCCGCTCTTTCCCGCCCTGCGCACTGGAAACAAGTGGAGCACTTTTTCTGCACCGCCGGTGAAGGGAAAACGTGGCAAGAAACGTGTGGAGGCCACTTCGCACGTCCATCATCTCGAACGCGATACTTGCCAATGTCGAGGGGAGTGGGGGGGAATTTCGATATTTCTAGTTCGGGCGCTGTTGTCGCACATGTTTTCCTCCGACCGTTCGAGAGCTGTCGTCCTTCTCTTCGGGGATGGAGAAGCGAGGAAACAACAGAAGGAGGAAAAGGAGGAGAAGGAGAAGAGGAGGAGGAGGAGGAGGAGGAGGAGGAGGAGCAGGAGCAGGAGCAGGAGGAGGGGTAGGAGGAGGACGGAGGAGAAGGAGGCCCAGAGGAGCAGGAAGAGGAGGAAAAGGAGGAGAAGGAGGACGAGGAGGAGAAGGAGGAGAAACAGCGAGGATAAGGCGGGTGCGAATCGGCTCGGGCTGCCGACCGCGAGGCGAGGCTCGACGGGACCTCGGCCTCGCTCCTGCAGGCCCTCGCGCTGGACCAGATGGAGCTCAAGGCCCGGCCCCGGCCCGGCTGGTCGGCATGCCCGCCTGCGCGCCCCTCCTCCTCGTCGTCGTCGTCGTCGTCGATTTGTCGTCGTCGTCGTCGACTCGTCGTCGTCGTCGTCGCCGTCGTCGTCGTCGTCGTCGCCTCATCGTCGCCGTCGTCGTCGTCGTCGTCGTCGCGTCGTCGTCGACTCGTCGTCGTCGACTCGTCGTCGTCGACTCGTCGTCGTCGTCATCGTTGTCGTCGTCGTCGTCGTCGTCGTCCGTCGTCGTCGTCGTCCGTCGTCGTCGTCGTCGTCGTCGCCGTCGCAGCCGTCGTCTTCGTCGGTGTGGTCGTCGCCTGGGGAGGCCCTGGCCGCTGCCCCAACGGGAGCCCAGGGGAGATCCGGGATCACCGCACGGTGTTGGAATTCGGGTCGCTCTCCGAGGACGTCTCGGGCCGCTGGTGCCTTCAGGGTCTCAGAGCCGTGCGGTGGCGGACTGCGCGGTGAGGTCGTTGGGGATTCCGCGGCCACCACGCGGTCCGTCACCACACGGTCTTGGGTTCCCTTCCTTGTCGCCTCCTCGCGTCGTGGCGAGGTTGGACGTTTGTGGATGCCTTCGTCGGTGCGTGAAGGTCTGCTTACCCCGGGATGTCTTCCGCCTCGCCGAGAGCGTTCCCGTGACGCCCGGGTTGGCCCAAACGGCCGCGGGAGGGCCAAGTAATGGACTGAAAGCGAAGCATCCCGGCGTCGGGCACAAAAATCACGACGCAAGGTTCTTGGCCACCTTCGGCTCCCATGGGCCCTCACAAGGCCCGGTCCCAGGGACACGGGCCCAGAGTTCCGTGGGTTCACGGCGTAAACATTCCAGTCGGTACGATTGCAATGGGGACAGGCATCATAATGCAGGGACGAAGACCCACAGCAGTGCTTGCCCAGTTTGAACCAGATCCGCTGTCGGTGTTGCCGTGCACGTTGCCCGTGTGAGACAGAGTCGACTTCCCAACAGCAGCCACTACTAGATTTGTGATGTATCCAGCAGCCACTACTAAAGTTGTGATGTATCCATTCTGGGCGTGTCGATTCTCCTCCCTCCTCCTCCTCCTCCTCCTCCTCCTTCCCCAGGGCCGTTCCCATGTCTTGATCCGGAGTCGCATTCTTAAAGATCCCGGGGCCCGTGGAGGTCCGAAGGGCTCGAGCACGGCTCACAATCTTCCGTTCTCCTCTGGGTCCCGTGTCCTTCCCAGACCGCCGACGATACGATGTACTCAACCCTCGCCCCCCCCCCCGCGCTCCCCAGGCAAAGCTGGACCAGAGCGTGGCCCCCCTGCTGCACAGCCTGGCGCTCGACCAGATGGAGCTGAAGGCCGGCCCCGCCGCTTCGGGGGAAGAGGGAGGGAGGGAGGGAGGGAGGGAGGGCGCAGGGAGGAGGGGGGAAGGAGGAGGGAGGGGGAGATGATAGAGCAGGCCGTGGGCTGTACGCCAGGCGTGCTCTACGGGTCAGCACAACAGCGTTGAGGCGAGAGGGATAGAACACAACATCCTGGCGAAGGACCCGACGATCTGCCAGTGCGAGTTGCCGCAGGGCAGGTGGAACGAAGGCGGGGCGGCGACAGGTGTGAGGAGTGTGTTGAAGTGTGCGGGGTGACACCCTGCGGGCGCTGCCACTAGGGCCTTCGGGGTGACGTCATGCGGGCGCTGCCACGGGGGCATGCGATGGGGCCCCCTGGAGGGTCACGAAACGAGCGAGGGGTGTGCCGAAACTGGTTGGGTGACGCAGTGCGGGCGCTGCCGCTGGGGTCTTCGGTGGAGCTCCCTGTGCTCGGCATCGCTCGGACGTGTGCATTTTTCCTTCGGCGAGAACTATCGAGGAGCATGCTTGATCATTTAGCGAAAAAACACGCACGAAACCAAAACAACACAGGGAATGGACGTCCGAGCGATGGCGAGTGTGGGGTCACGAAGCGTGTGAGGGGTGCGCCAGAATGGGCATGCGGAGAGCAGCGGCAGGAGGGGGAAGGGGCAGCGGGAGGAGGACGCGGGGTTCTGCCGCTTCAGACGAGGACCCAACACCACAGGATGGGTTGAAATCGGGAGCGAGCAGTCTGGGGTGGTTTTGAGGGGAAGACAAATAGTTAGCATGGATCTGCCGATAACGCTCTGCGCAATGGCCTGCGACAATGAAAGATACGTTTCCTTTCCCTCCCCTCTTCGCTTCTGCGCGTGCGTGCTGGCAAGAGGGAGGGCCGTGGCATAGCTGGTTTTGCCCAGGCCAGTCTGACGAGCTGGCGAGGCCAGCGCACGCTCACAACAAAGCGTTTGCAAAACAAGCATCGCAGAAATCACGGGTTTGAGACCGTCAATTGTTGTATTGTGCATGAGCGAGCAGGGAGGGGGCGGCCCATCGGTGAGAGGCGGAGGCTCCCACGCGACACCAAGCCTGGCCCAATTCAGGAGGCGCTACAAGATCACCCTTTCTGCAGCCGTGTGTGGAACACCCTACAGCCACGAAGCATCTAAGGGGTGTGCCCAAAGGATGCGGAGATGGTTGAGGGACGCCGGATCTAGAGCCGTAGGTGGAGCCCCTTATATGGGGCACGGAACGTGTGAGGGGTGTGCCTAAAGAAGGCGGAGATGCTGTAGAAGCGCCCTCTTTGGAGCCGTAGGTGGAGCTCTATGCGACGAGTCACGAACAGTGTGTGAGGTGTGTGCCGAAATGAGGCGGAGACGCCGTAGGATTATAGGGACGCCCTCGCTGGAAAGGCTGAACTCCGGGTGATGAGGCACGAAGCGCGTGACGAGTGTGCTGAAATGAGGCGGGGAAAGCTACAGAAACGCTCTCTCTGGAGCCTCGGGCGGAGCTCCCCTTGGGGCGCGAAACTGCGCGATGGGCAGCGGCATGCAGCAGGCAGCGCAACAGCAGCAGCGCAGGCAGGGGAGGAGAGCGGGGCACGAGGGGCGAGGAGGAGGCGCGTGGGGCGACGCGCTGCGGCCAAAAGAAGAGGACCCAGCAGCACAGAGGGGGGAGGGGGGCATAGAACGGCCGGCTGGGCTGCCGCCCGGCGTCGCCGCCATCGCCGCCCCGTGGCACCCCGACAGTGACACCCCGTCCGGCAGCCCATGTTGGACCCCCGGCTGCGCTCGCCGAAGCCCCCACGCCATCCACCCACCCCGTGCCCCGTACGTGTCGGGGGTGGACAGAACCCCCAACAGTGACACGTCGATTAGTGAATTGTCCGTTTTCGGTTCTCGAGAGGGCGCCGTGGCCGTTATTTTCCAGGCTTGCGCCCGCCAGGTTTGGGCCTCAGGTCGTTTTCACTAAACCACGTTTTACTAGAGGGGGTCTGTCCATCCCCGAACATGGCACGCCGCTCATGTCGCAAACCATGTGGAGTACACCGGGCATCATGATCCTTTTGCGCCCTCCCTCTCCGAAGGTCTCCAGAGGCCCCCAAGGCCCTCAGAGGCAGCAACAACAAATGTCAAGACGTTTAAACTCCTCGATGCTCGATCCTCCTCTGGACCTGCGCAGCCACCACCGCCGACTGGGATGAGCAAGAAGAAGAGTTCGTGAACTTCCAGTGGAGGTGATAGCGCACCTGTGCTTAATGTTCTCCAGGTCCTCTTTCCGATGGGCCACCGTGCTCGCGCACCCTCGTCGCCCGCCCATCTTTGGGTCGCCCTCTGCGGCGATGACAGCTCGTTCGTTTGTTCGTTCGCTCTCCCAGACGCTCCCCGCGTCGCGTGATGGCGGTGCGAAACATGGGGGGGGGGCAGCGGGGATTGCAGAAAAGGGCCCTGTGGGGCCCTCAAGGAGCCCTTTATTGCCCTAGCAGTGCCCGAGAAGTGCACCTTTCTTGCCCCTCCCCCCCCATCCCCCCCATTTTCTAGGCCTCCTAGATTGGGTCTGAGTAGATCGGGTCGGAGGATCACGACGCATCGCCGATGCATCGACGATGTATCGACGAGGCATCGGCGATGTACCAGCGATGCATCGGTGACGTCGGGCGTGAGGAAACACTGACGCATCGACGATGCGGCTCGATGTGGAGCCCGTGTTTCCTCACGCCGACGTCGCCGATGCATCGCCGACGTCGCCGATGCATCGCCGACGCATCGGCGATGCAGTGGCGATGCTGCACGATCTCTCGACCCCGTGTACTCCGAGCAGATGGGGTCGCCGGATCGCACCCCGTCTACTCCGACTATAGATCGGGTCCGAGCAGACTACTCGGACCCCACCTGGGAGGCCTCTACATCCGTAGTGGAGGATGACGATCAATAAATGACCGGGGGTCGTGTTCACGCGGCGGCGCCCGGGATGACGATTAGAAAAAAACGGCCGCGGGCTGGAGAACTACTTTCTAAAAATCGTTGTCCTCCAGTCAGAACATGATGCAGAGCTAGCAGAAAATTATGTGTTTTTTTATTGTTCTCTCCTATTTTCTATTAATCTCTAGATCCGATTACTACCCCCCACCCCTGCTCACATCAAAACCCATAGAGGTTCGCCCTCCACAATGCCCCCCAGAAATACGCTCACGAGTCTCAAGCATAACGAAGCATCAACGTAGGCACGTAGATTGCATGAGATGCGCCAGCCGTCTCGTCGCGCTCTTGATAGCGCGGCCCATCGGTGACGCGCGGCGTCGTCAGCCCGGGGGCCCGCCCGTCTTCCGCACCGACTCCGCGCTAGGTGTTCCGCGATTATAATCGCCATCCCGCATTAGCCCCTCCGCGAGAAGCGACGCCCCGCCTGGCGGCCTCCGCCCGCCGAGTCCGCCGCGCGACGCGCCGCCGCCGCGGCGGCCGCCGCGCCCGTCGCCGAGCGGCCGCCTGCGGGCGGCCGCCGCGCGGCCGCCTGCCGCGCGGCGGGCCGGGCGGGCGGGGGCCACCAGGGGCGAGGCGGGGAAGCGCAGGACTCGCTCGGCGACTACAAAGGGTTGTGGTTACGCCGGGTGTGGTTTGCGATCGGCACCGTCGGGGCCTGGGGGGCACGACACTGTCCTCGTCGGGCCTCCTCGGGGCGCGGCGGAGAGCTCTGTCGAGGTCCTCGCCCGCCTCCCAGGGTGCCCCTCAGGGTGCCGGTTGCAAACCACACCCTTTGCAAGCCACACCCTTCGGAGTCGCCGAATCGCATGTCAGGGGATCGCAAGCATGGAGCCGACGAAGGCATCTATACACCACCACCGTGCCAGGCCAGGGCCATCCTTGGCCGTGGGATGGTGTATAGACCCTCCTGGCTCGGCCAGGAGCGCGCATACACCATCCTAGGGCCCAGGATGGCCCTGGCCTGGCACGGTGGTGGTGTATAGATGCTTTCTCGTAATGCATCGACCGGGGGCGAGTCGGGGAAGCGCAAGACTCGAATGTCGGGGGCGGAAAAGTGGGGGGTGATGACTAAGGGGGGGTGGATATCATGGCGGGGGCCAGGATGTTCCCCCAGATTTCATGGCGCCCCTCCTTATTTCATTACGTCCCCTGGCCCACCCGCTGGGCCGCGCACATGCCGCCGGTCATACTTTGCACCCCCCCCCCCCCTCTTGGACACCCCCCTCTTGGCCGCTCCCGAGAATGTCAGGGGATCGCAAACATGGATCCATGGGGGCGTGGATGAGCGACGGGTCCCGTATCCATGGGACATCGCGGCGGCACCGGCCGCATTTTGGGGAGGGTGCCTCCCCCGATCCATGGGCTTGGCGACCGCGCGCCAAATCCATGGATCGCTAATCCATGCTTGCGCGCCCCCGAGAATGAGCCGGAACTCGGGTTTGCCGACGCTTTTTGACGAGTGCGTCCTGGATTTTGACGATCCAGTTTTCGTGGGATGTCTGCAGTGGGGGCCCGCGTCAAATTTCAGATTGGGTCTCGTCATTTTTATGATGGCCCCGTCAGGCCCGCCCGAGTCCCCCGAACCCGAGTCTTACGTCTCCCCGAGTGAGGGGGGGCAGGCCAGGGGCAACGATGCAACCCGCTCGCTGACAATACGGCAGGTTCGCGTCGTGTCGACCCGCGGCGACCCCACCGTCAGCGGTCAACGTGGAACGCCGCCGGCGACCCGGGATCGGTCGGTGTTGAACGGACTGGCGGTTCGGAAACGGACGATCGTTCAAGGTTGAACGATCCCCGCGGTGCCGGGAACCCACGCCAGGGTCGACACGACACGAACCCGCGGCAGGTTTTTTGGGACTCCCAGATCCCACTCTGTTTTAGGCGCCTTCCTACTTCAAGGGTCGAGCGGTGTTCCCTAGTCCTTGCTGTTCAGGGGTCGGGCGGAAGCTCAATCCACTTCTAACGCCTTCCTGCTTCATGCTTCTATCTACTTCTTCCGACCGACGGGTAGGAGGGCATAGGCATAGAGAAGTA